GCCGAGCCCCTGCCTTTTTTCTTAAGGGGGAAGGAAACAGCTATTCTTTTTCAATAGTTTTCTTATAGACACAGTATAGAAGATCCTCTAGTATGCCAAGGGTGTGAGCGAGTTACTGTTTTCACATTTGATGGCAACGTCTGTTCTGTCATGGAAATAAAACAGAGAAACGTCTTACACAGGATAGGGAGAGGAGACACATAAAAGAGGTGGCGTTTCCCTCCACGGCTTCTGTTTAACTTAGAGTAAAAAAAACACATAAAGCAAAGCACCATCAAAAATCTACAAAGTCATTTTTATTTCGCTATCTCTGCTTTTTGGGCTTGAATTCCTTGTTATTATATGTTTTGTGAGTGAGAAAAATCCAGTTTCTGACAATGTTGATGCTACCCTCTGCAGGTGGGAATTTTTATTTTATTTTTATTTTTCTTAATAATTATTTTTTATTAAATCATAACTTTGTACATTGATACATTTATGGGGTTCAGGGTACTGCCTCGATATACAATGTGAAATGTTTACATTGAACCAAATAACACATCCATCACAATTATACTCATTTCTTAATAGTTTTGAACTTTGGGGATTTTTAGACATTGAATCTGGGAGAAGCTAAACAAATTGATTAGGTTTTTTTTTTTTTTTTTAATTTAAAACAAAAGCATACATAGCTTCAAAAATTAGGATCAACGCACACTTTTATCATATGTCCTTGCCAGAGGGATGATACCACGATTGTCATAAAGGTGTAAATCCAGAGAAGCTGTGTGGCTGCAGACATGTGCCCAGCTATTGGGAGGGTGTATTTTGCTGCTATTTTCTACCTTGGCTTTTAACCTGAGGGGCCAAAATGATGAAAACATCAGATGAGGCCTTTATTTCATTTCTTTGTCTTCATCATTGTGTGATGATTTTAGTTGATAAAGAAGCTATCCCTAAAATTATATAAATCTTTCTCTTTTCAGGATACTGAGCCAATATTTGAGGAAGAATCCAAACCAATTTATTGCCAGAATTGCCAAAGCATCTCTTTTTGTGGATTCACACAAAGGTCACTTTTGGTGGTGTGTTCCAAATATTGGAGGGTAAGATAACTACATAAATAAGAAGCTGTGTTTTTTATCCTTCCAGATAATCGGTTTACGAGACTTCCAGAGATAATCCCAAGGAAGGGCTTGGTGCAAGATTAGACATTTAGAATTCATGTCTGATTTTGTTGTCTTCTTTGGAGTGGTTGGGACTTGGCTTTTTTTGCTTTGGTTTGTGGGATGTTTCGGTTTGTGATTGTATTTTGTTGATCTTAATTTCCGATTTTTGGCTACTGTTTTGAGTCATTACCTTATCAGTCTAACATAAACAGTGGTAGTGAGTTTTTTGCAAGTTGGACATTTCTTTGCAGGATGTTATTAGACCTACTTGTCACTTTTTTCTTGGCTTCTTGCAGTTGGGGAGGTCTTCCTTTGTCACTTCAGAGGTAATAACGGAAGAAGTATATTACTTCCACATTGCCAGACTTTAACATTTCCTTAACAGGGAAATAGTATGTTTTCAGCACTTGTTCTCTGTCTAGCACTTTTTTCAAAGCTTTCTGTATATTATATCTTTTAATTCTCACAACACTCTGAGGATAGGTATTTTACTTATTTAATCCTACTTAACAAATTACTCCCAAATTTAGCAATTTAAAACAACAAACATGTATTGTCACCTATTTTTATGTGTCAGGAATCTGGGCATGGCTTAGCTGGGTAGCTCAGGCTCAGGATTTCTTATAGTGGAGGTGTCTGCTGGGACTGCAGTCTTGTCCCCAGGCTCACCTCTGGCAGGCTCTGCCTCCAGCCTCCCCCTGTGGCCTTGGCAGGCCTCACATCTCACTGACTGTTGGCAGGATACAGTCATTCCTTGTCATGTGCTCTCTCCACGGGGCAGCTCACAACACAAGGGCTGTTCTTCCTCAGAGTGAACAAGCAAGAGGAGGTGTACCCAAGACCCACCTGACCTTGGAATTGAGACTGTGTCAAGTCGGCCACATTCTGTTCTCTAGAAACAGTCACAAAATCCAGCCTGTACTCAAGAGGCTGGGGACTTACACCAGGGTGTGAATACTAGGATTCGGGGCCAGGAGTCAGTAGGAATTGTTACTGTCCCCATTTTACAGAGGAGATAACTGATGTAGAGGGGATGAGTAACTTGACAAAGGTGGGACAAGCGG